CCGCAGAGCGGGGTCGGCGGATTGGATAATAGTGATACCTCTAGTAATACCTGTAGTAATACCCGTGTTCGTAGGCGTAGTATTATTAGTACTAGTATTATTACAACTAATATTCGAAGTCTTTAATTTCCATTATTAAGTAATCCTATTATCGTTAATACTATTCTTACCCGTTATTAGTATAGTGCTAGTAGGAGGTTGAACAACAAGAGCAGCAGGTGGAGCTTCCTTGGTCCACACCCGATGTGGAGGCGTATCACGAAGCAGAACATTTCTTATCGGTGCTGGCGGGTTCGCACTGCCAAAGCATCGGCTGCGAAGTATTTCTGCCTTACCTCACCAAAAAGAAGCTCTGGCAAAGATGTTTTGAGCGCTGCCGGAAGTTTTCCCGTTCAGATATGGAGGGCAGAGTTCTCGAGACTGACATAGCAACATTTCGTAACATGGAGTGCGATTGGGAATAGTGCAACTTCAACGGCTGTCCACAGCAGTAGTATCCCTTCAGTGCGCTACATAATACCCTGAAGGATGGGGCTGATCTTTCTGGCTTATAAATTGCGGCCCTTTGAGGGTCTAATTGTTGTACGGCCCCTGATACGAGGATGCCCACAAAGGGACCTTGACAGCCTACCACGTTTCCTTGCAAACATCTGGTTCCTGATGAGACTGGCGCTCGAGCAGGTGTTTTCCTCGCAAGCCTCCCACGCTGGGCCGGTCCTGCAGGCTGATGGTCCAAACGCGTCTTGAAGGGTTCCGTATACATCAGCATATATATAATATATATATATATATGTATATGGTGCACTTCTATACAAAGAGGTTCGGGTTTGTTGCCGAGTCCGATGGTATTGTACTACTGCACTGCTACGCTGTGATATTAGTCAATTCCTCAAAATCAGCTGCTCATGCCCCGCGTGCAGATGCCATAGGCGCATTGTACGGCTCAGGTTTTGACATCTATGGTCTGGGGTTCCATGTTTCAAGTTTTGGGGTTCAGGCTCAACAGCATAGGGCTTGAAGTTGAGGTTTCTGGCGAGCTTCAGGTGATTGGCACCCGGAGTGATGATGGCAGCAAGGGCAGCAGTAGAGTCGCAGTAAAGTCAGCAAAAGTAATGTAGCATTGTAGCCGCTATCAGAAGATTACTAGACAAAATTCTAATCCTGCAAGGACTACTGCGCTGCAGTAGATGGTGGTATGGTGGTCTAGTAGTATCGTAATTTTTGCGTTGCTGACGGAAGCGCCGCACATGACAGGTTGACTATCTGCTCCCCTTTGAGATTTTTGTGTCTGTCGGTCCGGATCCAAGTCTTGGACTGCAATTTATAGCTGTGGAATCATTCCAGAATTCAATGATTCTGCAGAGGATATCGAAGGACTATAAGGTCCAGGGAGTGGTTGTAGGCTCAGTTGGGAGGATGAGAGTCAGGGTTTATTTCCTTTCGAGCTTTGAGACCTTGTAGATGAGAGCTAGCCTTGCTGCAATTCGCATGCAGAAAATGCTGGGTTGCTGTCGCCCTTGACTTGAGAGCCTTGGGAGTTGGCAAGCCCAGAGCTTCAGCACAAAGGAATTTGTAACGCATATGTTGCTCCAGAGAGAACACGAGCATAGGGAGAGCTACCTTGGAACTCCTGCAGCAGGTGGAGAAAGATAGTGTGTAGAACTGCAGGTACTGCATCGTTAATTGCCTGCCTTGCACACGGGAGACTCCCTGCAATGCTTAAAGCAGCATGGTATAGCTTGTTGCCAAACATCTAATCCCAACTATTGGGTCTACCTTTTCCCAGGAGAGGATGACACAGTTCGGTTCTGGTCCTCTGCCCTGCAACTCCTCAGAGAGGCCGACTAGGGCCCACGAATCGATAAAGTCCTTGTAGGAGGTTTGCCTGACTCTTATGCCGAAGGGGATGAGTTATGGGATCGATTTTTTGGGATCCTGCAACACACGGCGGGTAAGCCTTTGAAGACAAGGTGACATAAGTAGTGGCCTGGGAACATGTGTTCTGGGGGAATAGGGGGGTTTGTGTGCCAGGGGAAGTGCTTGATGCTCCGGGCATTTCCAGCTTCCAAGCCAGAGACGCATAGCGCGCAATATGCTGCAATCGTTAAGATGTATGCCAGAGCCCCCAAAACAAGGACCCTCCAACAGTCATGTCTTAGCCGTAGGGTTTTCATTCTGCTTCGGGGCTTTAAATGGAATTCTTAAACCATTTTGAAATCCAGCAGAAGCTCGACATACACCCGAAACCCTATGTTGGGAGGTGTTTTTCCCACAGCCCTGCTCGACGGTGGCATTCCTTCGGCTGCCACGGACTAAGCAGGACGCAGATGCTTCCCCGCAGCTGAGAGTAGCTGCGCAGAAAAGGGCTTAGACATGCTCACGGCGTAAGATTTTGTTTCGGCTTGCGGGACAAAAAGTCGTATTTCACTCTGACCTACCTGGAGCCAGTACTTCACTTACTATCCATACTTCCATGTCAACTGTGAATGCGATGCTTCATCTCAATTATTCCCAACAGCATTAGTGTTGGGTTTCAGTCTCTGAT